TTTCTTTTCTTTCTTTCTCTCTTAAATTTTTTTCTTTTTCTTTCTCTTCTCTCTTTTTTTTTCTTTTCTTAAAGGTAAATTTTTTTTTTTTTTTTTTTTTTTCTCTCTCTCTAATCATTTCTTCTTTTCTCTCTCTTTTTGTTTTCTTTTTTTCTTCTCTTAATCTCTCTCTTTACTTTTTTTTTTTTTCTCTCTCTCTCTATCTTTTTTCTCTCTCTCTCTAATTTTTTTTTATTTTTTTTTTTATCTTTATATTTCTTAAAAAATTCTAAAAATATATTTCTTGGTTTTATTTTTAAAACCTATATAATTTATAGAAAACAAAAAATTTATATTTTCTTATTTTCTCATATTTTTGAAATTTAGAATAAAAATAGTTTAATCATTTCTATTTTTTCAATTTCTTTTAAACAATTATATTGCTTTAAATATTAAAAAAATAAAAATATTATTTTTTTCTCTCTTTTTTTATATATATATATATATATATATATCTTTTATATTTCTACAATAGATGGACAAATGATTTTTTTCATGTAAATAGAATCTCATGATTTTAATAATGTTTTTTTTTTCTTGATGCTCTTGGAAAAAAACTGAAAGAAAATAATTAATTGAAAAGAATAAAAATGTGCCATTTTTCGCCAAAGCAAAATATCTTTCATTTTTCAATATTCTTTTCTTTCCTTTTATATTTTTTATATTTTTTACCTGTTTATATCTTTTCAGTCTGTTTTTATATAGCAATCAATTTGCATTTTAATTTTTAATCTATTTTTCTGTTATAGTCTTTTAAAAAAATTTCTTTATCCAACTTCTCTCTCTTTTTTTTATATATATATATATATATATATAATTTTTCCTTATTTCTTTTTCCCTTCTTTATTTCAAAAAATTAAAAAAATAAACAATTCCCGTAAATTTTCTTCTTTTCAATTTCAATATATACACACACACACATAATTATTTGCAAAAAATATAATTTTAAATCATAATTTAAAAATAGGAAGATTGTTGTCATATAAATAGGTATTTGGTAATTTTGCTTTCTTGTTCTTTCTCTCTCTCTCTAATTTTTTAATTGTTGAATTAATTTTCTTGAAAACATTTATAAAACAACCGAACAGCCTGTTTTTCTCTTGTTGGTTTTTTTTTAAAAAAACATTTGTATTAAAATAAATTTTCAGGAAAATATTTTTTTTAATTTTATATTTTAAAATTTATTTTCTTTTTAAACTTACGTTTTGAATTTTCTTTAAGTAAAAAACATCTTCATTATTTTCCTTCTAATTACATTCTTCTATTCTTAAATTGTTAATTTTTTTTCTTCTTTTTTTTCTTTTCTTTTTTTCTTCTTTTTTTTTCTTCTTTTTTTTCTTCTTATTTTTTTTTTTTTTTTTTTTTCTTTCTTTTTTTTTTCTTTTTTTTCTTTTTTTTTTTTTTATTTCTTTTTTTTTCTTTTTTTTCTTCTTTCTTCTTCTTTTTTTCTTTTTCTTCTTTTTCTTCTTTTTTTTTCTTCTTCTTTTTTTCTTCTTCTTTTTTTCTTTCTTTTTTTTTTATTTTTTTTTTTCTTCTTTTTCTTCTTCTTTTTTTTATTCTTTTTTTTCTTTTTTTTTCTTTTTTTTTTCTTTTTTTCTTTTTTTCTGTTTCTTTTTTCTTTCTTCTTTTTCTTTTATTTTTTTTCATTCTTTTTTTCTTCTTCTTTTTTTTTTTTTTCTTTTTTTTTTTTCTTCTTTTTTTTTTAAAATTTTTTCTTTTTTTTTTTTATTTTTTCTTTTTTTCATTCTTTCTTTTTTTTTTTTTTTTTTTCTTTTTTTCTTTTTTTTTTCTTTTTTTTTAATTTTTTTTTTTTTTTCTTCTTTTTTTTTTTTTTCTCTTTTTCTTTTTCATGTTCTTTTTTTTTTTTCTTTTTTTCTTTTTCCAAATTTTTTTTTTCTAATCTTCACTTTTTCTTTTTACATTTAATTTAATTCTTTTCTTTTTTTTTTTTTTTTTTTCTTTTTTTTTCTTTTTTTTCTTCTGAATCTTCTTCTTTTAAATTTTACATTTGATTTTTTCTAATTTTTTTTACTTTTTATAATTCATAGTTAGCAAAAATTTCCATATAAGTTGAAAATTTTTCATTTATTTTTTAAAAACCTAATAGATTCATTCACCAAAAGCCATTTCTCCTTTCTACCTATAAAATATATATATATATATATATCAAAATGTCTTATTTGTATAACGTTACCAAGCACGGAAAGCAAATGTTTAAATTAGCCTGGTTATGATCCAGACATCTTAAAATTTATTCTAATTAACAAATTCTAATGCTTTTTAATCTTTGTTGATATAAAAATTTTAATTTTTTTTTTCATTCATGTTTTTATAAGATACTCATTGGATAAAAAATTTAAGGAATTTTTCAAATTTAAAATTTTTTTTTTTGTTATTAAAGTTATTTTAATTATTTCCGGTTTTATCATTTATAATTGTTTCCGAAAATTCCAACCGTTTGATGTCCGGTATTCTTCATATGTAAGAAAAGAACTTAAAAATCCGTATCGGTTATAATTTATTTCATGAATATTGTTATATATATCAATTTCAAGACCAAATAAAAAAAAGAAATGGAATTAATTCAGACACAGATATACTGGGATAAAATAAAAAATTAAAAAAAAATAATGTTTTTTTTCTTCTCCATTTTTTTTTTTTTTTTTCTTTTAAAAATTTTTTTTTTCTTTTCTTCTCCATTTCTTTCATTTTTTTTCTTTCTTTTTTCTTTTATTTTTCTTCTCCTTTTATTTTTTAATTTTTTTTATTTTTTCTTTTTTTTTTTTTTCCTTTAAATTTTTCTTCTCATTTTTTTCTTCTCCTTTTTTCTCCTTTTTTCTCCTTTTCTTTTTTCTTTTCTTTTTTTTTCTTTTTAAATCCATAGATTTTTTCTTCCTTTTTCTTTTTTTTCTTTTTTTTTTTCTCCTTTTAATTTTCTTCTTCTTTTTCTCAATTTTTTTTTTCTTCTCCATTTTCTGATTCTTTTTTTCTTCTTTAGTTTCTTTCTTCCCGCTATATCTGTTTGGATGAATTGATTCCATTTCTTAAAAATATTCCCTCCGAAATGATGATTGTAACCAATATTGATTTTATGTTGTTTTTTTTTGTTTGTTTTTTTTTTATCACTACAAATTGCTCTGTAACATGCATTAAGCTCTCTTTGATATATACGCACACCTGATTTGAGTTTTTGCTTCTTGTCTGTTACCGCAGATAATTCTAGTCTCTGTTCACAAGAATTAAATACTCATGGTCGTCCTCTCTCTTTCCCATTGTGGATGGTACACAATATATCAAGTGATATCCAATGTTATATCAATTTTAATGTTTCATATGTCCACTATTATATCATTTTAACTCCTATAATTCACGTTGCCTCGCCTCGCCGGTATTCACTCACCAGAGAACAATGGATATAAGTCTGGACTATTCAATAACGTTAAGGCGATAGGTGGCACGGTTGATGACAGATTGTATTGAGTAATCAGATTGGTGCTAATACCCTTGAGAAATCCCTCTCTTCTCACCCCAGCAATGTGTAAAGGCCACTCGAGGTAGTGTTACAGAATAGGAGACATTTTATGCGGATATGTAGGGAAGATAACGGTTAACCTTAGAGTTGAACAGTTTAAGATTGTAGTGATCGCTGAAGCATCACACAAAGCATCGGTTCGTACGAAGAAGTTACTAGAGTGGAACTTACATCTCAATAATGGAAGGCGAAGTTAATGAGGCTGGTTCGCTACAATTTGCGTGACATGGTGGGTCTTAGCCGTAAAGATTAGAATTTCTTGATGCGTCTTTGGACTGGAAAAGTTCAAATTGGGCAGCTACTGTCCATATATGACAGCAGTACTTCATTTTCAGCCTGAACTGGCTCATGTTTTTGCGTGGATTGAACACAGGCAGAGACAGACGCACAATGAGACAGACGAATATATATAATGTCCAATTTTGTAGTAGTAACTTACATGTTCTAATGCAACAGTGTATAATAAATATTTATTGCTCTACTCTTGTATTGAGCCCTTTTTTAAATTAATGTTTTGAACATTGCAATTTTATTCTGTTCTTTTACATTTAGAGATATATATATATATATATGTGTGTGTGTGTGTGTGTGTGTATGTTTCATTAAAAACGACAAGGTACTACGATTGAGCTTTTTATTTAATTTTTCTTGTTTTCGAATAAGTGCTTTCTTTTTTGGGTGCTGTGTGTAGAAACTGTCCAAATATTCTGTAATTCCGAGCGCTTTCGGCTATACCTTTAGCCATTATCAAGGATGATTTTATGATTGATTTTTATCTATGAACTTAGTCAAAAAAAATAAACTCATATTCTTAGATGTCCTTGTAGAATATAGTAATAATACTTTTATCACCTCATTATATAAAAACCCACTAGCAGAAACTCTTGCCACCTTAACTTTAAAAGTGAATTCCCACTCAGATACAAAATAGCAGTGATAAAAAAATTCCTAAGAGCATACCAGAATCCGTCATCATTCAGAATTCATCCTCTCGACTACTCTTTCTTAAAGAACTCAATAATGTAAAACAGACACTAATTAACAATTGCTTCCCTAACCACCTTATAGACCACCAGATTAGACTATTTCTTCCCAAAGTAAATAACAATGATAGTGAACAGTCAAAAATAACATAAATATTTTTTACAAAAACCAAATGCACGTTAAATACAAACAAGGTGAATCTTCACTTAGAAGTATTATAAAGAAATACACTACCCCAATTGACCCGAATAAAAAAGATCAAATTATTTATTAGAAAAAATTTAAAACAGCTAACCTTATCCGCAAAAATAACACACCAGCAAAGTCAAAATTACAAGGAACGAATATTATCTAGGAGGTGAAGTATCTCTTAAGGAACTGTGTTCCTGATCAAACCGAATTCATAAATAATTATGTCGGTCACACGACTACATGACTATCCAGACGCCTTACGTTACACCTGTCTGACCACAGTTCTATTAGAACCAATTTAAACACACACACACACACAAACTTACCAGACTCCATCCGAAACGTACTAATAGAAAATACAAACATAATAACCTCATCCACATGTAATGATAAAAAAGAAAAAGCCAACACTTAATATTAATTACGAACACGGCCACAATGTGCTGTTCTGAAAATAAAACCTCTCTATAACACTAAAAACATAGACACAACCCACACACCCAATTAAATTGAAATAAATAAAGTCATCCTAAATCATATTAAAAGTATAGCCGAAAGCACTCAGAATTACAGAACATTTGGACTGTTTCTACACACTGTCTAGAAAAGAAAGTACTTGTTCGAACACAAAAATAAAAAGCTTAATCGTAGTACCTTGTCTGTCGTCTTTAATGAAACATGCATAAAGGAAGGATTGATGCGTAAATACACTATATATATATATATATATAAACATACGGTCAACACTTAGAGGCGACAGTCTTTCATGCTAGATGCAATCGTCATTAACATTATATATATATATATATATATATATATACATATATATATATATATATATATATATATATATATATATATATATATATATATATATAATATTCAAGTTTTAAGAAGAAGGCAATAAAAGGAAGTATTTATCCTCATTTAGATGAACGTACGAAAGCATGGAGATCAAATACCCAATACTTGCATAAACAAATCTTACATCTCACAACGTAACGAGTCATCGTAATTTAACAAACAGTTCTTCAGAAGAAACGACAGATTTATCAGCGGAAACTGTAATCGGTGCCTGCGCAAAAGCTTCAAAGTATGCCCGGTCTGCATGCACAGCTAAATCTGCGCCATTTTTGCTTCGTTGAAATGAAAAAGACAACTAGCGTTCTCTAGCGCATTAAGGATAAAGTTGTTTTTGCTTACAATTGAACCAATCAAAAGATTCTTTTTTATTGAATATAAGTTTAAAAGCAAAAAGCCGGTGTTTGTTAATCTTTTTTCTTCAGAAGAAAATGGTTTGTTTTTCAGTTTCTTGTTCATTACGAACCATATGCTTTTCATGCTTTTTCTCTGCCGTCCTTAATATTGTCAGAGTTGAGCGCATCTATAATAAAAAAAAAATCCCCCCTCCACAAAAAAAAACAAAATCTATTTTTCAGCTTGCTACTTTGGACAAAATAATACAATTCTATTGTGTGCATACGCTGACACTCGAGTACAAACCCAAAAATTTACAGAAAAAAAAAGATGCCGGGAAATTTCAAGGCGAAACAAATAAATATTTTCCTAAATTTAAATAAAAATGAGCTCTTCAGATATTAAAAAAAAAATCATGACTCGTTCTGTCATCCAAATTTTATTAAATTCAAATGACAGTCAGTTTTTTATTATTATATATTTTTCCAACTTTCGAATAAGTTGTTGCCCATCCGGATTAAAATTGGGTAATAATCTCTCTAAAGTTAATGTATTTATCATTATCGAGAACTCAATGTTGTCAATATCGTAGCTTCACTACGTCATTGGAACGCTATATTTCAAATTTAAATACAAGTATTATGCGAAGAACGGTTTCACAGGACTTGACAATACCAGAAAGCGAATTTTTATTTTTATTTTTCAAAAAGATGAAAAACAAATTTATTGAAAAAAGTTTGAACAATGTAACTATAAACAATTTTTTTCTATTCCTCTGCCAGCCACAATGATGGAATTTTTATTCGAACCATCGCCAGTGAGACACGCTGCAAAAATCTTTCCGTTTATTTAAATCTTCTTATAATCGAGACACAATCTCTTTACAAATCCTCCGAAGGAACGCCCAGACGAGGGCCAATTTAATAACAAAAACTTTCTCCACTGGCACAAAAAAAAAAAAAATTTATCAGTAAGAGAAGAATATTTATTTTTTTTGCACGAAATCATCTTTATATTTTTTCGGGCAACGGCTCCCCAGCTCAACCACCAGACCTGATCAATTTACCGGTGATTTGTTTTATCCGCATAGGTCGCATTCCCAAATCAACGACTTCCTATTTTAAAAAGGGAAAATAGTAATGCCATTCGGCTTTTTTCCATCACCACGGTCGAGGCCTACGGGTGGTCCTTTTTGTTCTATTATTCCCATCCAAAAATATGAATATATTAAATTTTTTATACAGTGCAACCTCGGTTCTCGAACGTCTCGCATGTCGAACAAATCGGTTTTCGAACAGAAAATACGATATAAAAATGACTCGGTTATCGAATAAAATTTCTTTTCTCGAACAACATTGTCGAACCGATTTTACCTGATCGGAATCATTTCTGAGTCGACCGCCAAAAGTAATTTATACATCCGTGTGTTGTTCTTTTCTTTTCTTTTCCAATTTTTTATATTGTGACTTTTTTTCTCGACATTGATTCCTATTGGGAAAATAGTTTTCGGTTTACGAACATTTTCGTGTAACGAACGGCCTTCATAAAACAAATTAAATTCGTGAACCGAGGTTCTACTGTATTATAAAACATTAGATGAAGCACTGAATTTGATGCAAGTTATTACTTTTCTTTAAATAATAGCCTTGTATTTTTGAATCTCACTTTACAGTAGTATTTTATTGTATGCTAAAATATATAACAAACTCTGCCGTCATCTTTGAAATTTATGAAATCTCTAAATTGAAGTTGAATTCAGGTCTATTTACCCATGATTTTATTATAATGGTGAAAATTTTCATAAAAATTCTCAAAAAACAAAATTGAATTCGTGTTGAGCAGTGTAACACAAGTCAAAACAAACGATAATTTTCAGTTTTTGAATTCTGAGTAGTTTATTTCCTAGAATAGTTGACAATGAAAGCTATTAGTCCTATTTAACCCATAGTTGAGGGTAACAGCTGAGTGAATTTGAACTCACCATAACGTTTTAAACAAAACATACGTCCTGGATTATATAGATATCTATTAAAACTATTTTATTTTAAAACATGGTCTGTTAAAGACTCTTTTGCGTCAGGCGTACTAATGAATTTTCTACCGTCCTAAAAAATG